AAATAATACAAGAAAAAAAATCGTCTTTCACTTGTCAATATAAAATTGAAATTCTAAGTAAAATACAAGTTTCCTAATTAGAGCAGATATTTTTAAAAATCAAGTCCAGTTTACTGCAGGAATGAAAGAATGGCTTAATATCAGAATATGTATTAATGTACTTCTCTACATTAATGGATCAAAGAAAAAAGAAAGCATTTGATAAAGTTCAACAGCTATAATAAAATTAGAAATAGAATAAAATTTCCTTATTTTAACAAAGTTATATACCAAATTCATCATCCTTAAATAAAAAATTTTTTAAGTATAAGGTATATGTGAGGATTAGAAGGGAAGTGACAAAACTGCTTTTATTTGGTAGCTATTTTCCCTGTTATCTGCTTTCTTTAGAAAGAAGGGATATCCATATAGCTTACCTAAAGGAAACATCACATTGCTAAGAAACTATGGGAATAGGAATACAATGAAACCCAGTCCTATCTACGCTGAAGAGAACTTGAAAATAAATGAGATTGACCTATGATTTAACCCAGCACACTGTTTTTTTTTTTTTTTTCCTTGTTTAGTTTTTGCTTAGAAATGTGAGGGAGACCCACACAAACTCCCAAATTGGTAAGAGCAACTGAGGAAACATTCCTAGGCCTGTATATCATATACCCCCGGCTGTATCAGATTACTCCTGCAGCATAGCCAGAATGGCTCCTTGCCTCAAAAAACAATTAGGGTTGCCTGGAAACTGTAAAGAACACCCCCCCACACACTTTTTTTTAAAGAAAATGTAATTTTATTAATATTACTTTTTTACATTCTAGGATGTTGTTGCAAAGCAGTTGGGAGGGAGGGGGAGAGGTGAAAGGGGAAGGAAATGTGATGGAAGGAGGAGGGGTGGGATTAAGGCCTGTGTCACCACCCTCATTCCCACAGGGGAGACTGGGGGGGCTTCCAGCGGTGGCTTGGTCATTGCCAGGCTGAAGACCCACACCTAATGGACCTTTCATGACCCTCATCACAGTAAAACAATGTGGTAGCATCATCTCTGGGTGCCCTACAGGAGAACTTCAAAGCAAAGGAAATTCATCCTTCCATTGGAGAGAACACTACAAACTGTTCTTTATAAGGTGAGTTCTTGTATTCGTTCCTTATATGAAGGGATTTGTGTCCTGTGCCTGCATTTGTAAGTCAATCACCATCACCTATGTGAGAACTACTCACAAGTGTGTACATCCACTCACACTGGGTTCACATCCTGGCTCAGCCACCTAGAATCATGTGTCCTTGGGAAAGACACAATCAGTTTCTTCATTTGGAATACGTAATAACATTACTAACTATCCCCCTGCCATGAGGAAACATAAGATAAAGTACTTAGCACATGTAAAGTGTATTGCACAGTACTGGCTCATAGTAAGTACTTAATAAATGTTGACTATTATTAGCTATGATCCCAAAGTTATCTTATTGGAAAATGTTAACATCCCATAAAGAGACCATTCCTATTGACTTTTCAATAACATTATGGCACAGATTTAGTACTTATCAATGGCTTGCCTTGTCATTACATTAAAATCCTCACTCTTTATATCTTAGCCTTCAACACCTTAAATGATTGGTCCCTGACTTTCTCTCCAAACTCATTTCCTGTTATTCTCATCTTTCCTATCAATCTAAAAAATGTCAACTACTGGTTTGTCTTTCCCTCAAATATGCCATAATGCCATATTGCAGTCCCATCTCAAATATGCTACCACTTTGGCCTGGAAAGCTCTTTCCCCTGAGGCTACCTCCTTTTTATGATTTAAGTTTCACCCAAAAGGTCACTTCCTCAGAGGTTTTCTCTTACTGCTCTACATGCAACCTTCTATTCTCTGCCTAACCTTTTGCTTTATTTAAGCTTTATTTTAACTTTATCCTTAACTCATTACTACATAAAACTGTATTATTTATTTTATTGATATTTAAGGTAAAGACTGTAAAGTCTGTCTCCCAGCACTCACCTCTACTGGAATGTTAGCCCCATGAAGGCAGAGACTTAGATCACAGAGTGTAACTGGCACATAGTGAGCGTTCTATATTTGCTTAGTGAACCAGATATTTGGGGTGATCTTCCACAGCTTAGTTCATAACTAATTACTACCCTCAGAGTCAAAGGCCAAGAAAAAGTCAGTCAAGCTGCAAACCATCTGAATTTATTACTGGTAGATTTCTCTAAAAAATGGTAAAGACTATATATAATGGAGTCTACGGTTAAAGCTCACTGATCCTCACATAGAACTATGGCCAAAGAAAGCCTGACTTGTACAGTGTGGAAAGAAAACTGGCATTCATTTTCAAAGGTACGATATACTACTAAGTCAATAATTTGGGTAGGGAACTGAAGAATTGGCTTTTTAAGAAACAAAATAAACTACATTCTGTACCCAGGAAAATGATGTCATGCTCATAGAACTTTATTCAAACAGTTGTTTAGAAGATTAACAAAGTTAAGTAGGTTTCTTTTATACCCTATTCAAAACCTTTTAAATGTTTCTTGTGGATCACTGGCCTGGGAATATAACAAAGTTTCTCAAACTTATTTGATCACAGAATGCCTTTTTCAAACTTCCAATTTACATATCCTGGAAATCAGTTTGGGAAAAGCTGCTGAAGAGTTCATATAAGTTATTGTGTTAGCAACTATGAGAGCTCACCATTCAGACTAATCCATAAATAGTTTTAAGAACAATAGTCTTTTCCCTAACTGCTAAATTCAGCTTAGATTTTTAACCAGAATAGCCTGAATCCTCTGTGTTTTAATAGTGTATTTGTTTTTTTTCCCAGTATTAATACCATTTTAAAATTCATTTTCTTACCTTACTACACTGTATAAAGTCTCTAAATCTATGCTGCGTAAAGTCTCTAAATAGTTACGGGCCTCTCTGTCTTGTTTCCTATTTAAATGCAAGTAGTTTCAGTACTCCAATATTTAATACAATATTTAACTATTATAATTTTGATCAGGTTTAGGTCATTTCTTCCTATTCATATTTAACTTACAACTTTTACTGCAAAAGTGCTAAATTCTATCAAATGTCCATTTTATCATATATTAAAATCATATTATTATTTCCTCCTTTCACTTGTTAAATAATGAAGTATACTGAAATCTCCTGATGGTAAAATGTCCTTGCATTGCTAGAATAAACCTTATTTGGTCATGGCATACTATTTATTTAGATGGATAAATGTGAATTCCTAATGCTGAATGAAGAAATGTAACTTTAAACATACATAGTTTAAGTATTTAGGAAGATAAGTATGCTGTAATAAGAGAAAATAAGAAAAGAAATTAGCACTACATAATTCTATTTAGAGAAATTTTAATCAAATGTATATATCCTGTTTTAGTCACATTCTTATTTGTATAGATTGACAAATTTCAGTTCCTTTTACATGAAATTATTTTTTAAATTCCTCTATGAAAGTGAAATTATCTCTTTTGTCCCTTATTCTAAAGATAATCCCAGAAAACATAAATATCCAAGGATGTGAACTGCAATTCTGAATGTTAATGAGGCAAATAATAAGTATCAGAAAGTTAAAAGATGAAAGACAAAATAACCTAAAAGCCAAATAATGTTTTAGATAAAAAAATTTTATCTAAAAAATGTATCTATTTTTTTATTTTAGATTTTTAAAAAGTACTTTTTAAAATCTAAAATACTGGTCTACCTAAATAATGCTATCTATATTTCTTATTTGGTAACTTTTTTATTGTAATTTTCTCTGTAGTGTTACAAATAGTGCATTCTTGTGAACTACTCATATTACTAAAATGTGTAATGATGAATATGCTAATTATCCTGATTTGATCATCACATATTGTACATGAGTACTGATAGTCAACTCTCTACTCCACAAATATGTATAATCAATTATGTTTCAATTTTTTAATAAATACTAAAATAGGGCCAGCCTATGGCTCACTTGGGAGAGTGTGGTGCTGATAACACCAAGGCCATGGGTTCGGATCCCCATATAGGAATGGCCAGTTCGCTCACTTGGGAGAACGTGATGCTGACAACACCAAGTCAAAGGTTAAGATCCCCTTACCGGTCATCTTTTAAAAAAATTAAAATAAAAATACTAAAATGAATCATACAATATAACAATACAGGGAAAAGCTGTTCTAATATTCCCTATAATATTTCTGAATCCTAGACCAGCAGATATAAATGAAAAGAATCTCAATAACCATTTAATCAATATTTTCAGTTATTACTTTCAAAGAACAATCATTTAACCAATAAGCTTATGTTAGTTATTAGACACAGATGGAAATCAGTCTTTACTATAAAAAGTAACAAATTATTAGTCACAACTTCAAAGCCATTTGGGTACACTTAACAGCATCAATCTGATCCACTGTGTTCCTGGATAAATTCTACTGGAATTTATACCAACTCTCATTTTCACAATGTGCATATTTATTTAATCAAAACTTACACTATGATCTAAAACCAAAGTGAAGTTAAGAAAAAGAATATATAAACATCAGGACTCCTTTTTTTTTTAAAAGATGACCAGTAGGGGGATCTTAACCCTTGACTTGGTGTTGTCCGCACCAAGCTCACCCAGTGAGCCAACCGGCCATCCCTATATGGGATCCGAACCCGTGGCCTTGGTGTTATCAGCACCACACTCTCCCAAGTGAGCCACAGGCCAGCCCCTAAACATCAGGACTCCTTTTTTTTTTAAAAGATGACCAGTAGGGGGATCTTAACCCTTGACTTGGTGTTGTCCGCACCAAGCTCACCCAGTGAGCCAACCGGCCATCCCTATATGGGATCCGAACCCGTGGCCTTGGTGTTATCAGCACCACACTCTCCCAAGTGAGCCACAGGCCAGCCCCTAAACATCAGGACTCCTAATACTCTATTTCTTACTGCCAAGATTACAATATAAATGTTAAAGAAAATACTGAAAGATATGAATATATTAGATGAATTATCAACAATACTCACGCATCATTTGAGCAAGTCATAAATTCTCCCTTTATTTTGGGATGCCATGAGCCAGTATGAAGCATTGCTGTGTGACCCTTAAAAAAAATAACAACAAAGGGAAAAAAAATATTTTAAAAAGATTAAAAAACCAAAAAAAGACTAGAAACTGACATATCATGTTTAAAAGTAAAACTTTTTAGTGCTCCCAAAAGCACACTATGTTTGTTTTAATTTACTTCTGTACCACTCCCCACCCACACCAGGAATTAGCACAGTGCCTGCATGTAACAGGTGCTTAATAAGGTGGAAAATAGGGGGAAATGACATCTCTTTATGAAAAAAAGAAAATATTAAACCATAATAAGAAAGATAGATACGCCCTTCTTTTAAAGATCATGACTCTTTTCTTCAATGGAAAATAATTAAGAAGAACAGATAGCATTTACAAATCAGCAAGCCAAAGGCATGAGATTGGGAGAAAAAAAATCCATATTTTCTAAAAACATGTCAACAATATTGACTCCATAATACATCTGTAAGAATAAATACGTGAGAAAAGGAAAAACATATTTAAAATGATTCAGGGAATATGAACCTGGTTGGAAGAATCAAGATAGCAGAATAGACAGTCCCCAGCATCACTCTCTCCCACAATCAACCAAGGTACAACTATTAAAAAGCAAAGACTATCAAACTGGGGCCACTAGAGCTCAGGAGAAGAGGAGGAGAGACTTACAGAGTTCATGAAGGCAGGAGAAGTCAAAATGAGAGAAAGAAAGAATGCTCTGACTGTTTCAAGCCCCAGCCATATCAAGGCTGGCCCTGGTGAGCACACAGAGCAAGAGCTGGCAACAACCGCAGCTGTGCCCTTTGTGTGAAGTTGCTTGGAGACTGCAGGGGAGAGGAGGGGCTTGGCGGACCCCAGGCCAGCAAGACCACTGACATGGTTCCCATGGACCCATATACGAGCGAAGGGCCACAGAAAACTGAAAAAAGGAGCCACTCAAAGGTTGGTGAGTCATCGCAAGGGACTGGTGCATGGCCCACCCCATGGGAAATACTTGGAGTACGGGGGCTGGGGAGACAGGCCCACCAAGAGAACACTGGGGCACAATATGGACAGCTGATCTGCCCACCAATCAGCACAGGACCACTCAAGAGGAACTGATCAGGAATACAGAACTACGGGGGGTACAGTTTGCTGAAAAGACTCAGGCCCAGAGCAGAGTTTCCACACAACCCAGGTGTATTAAACCTCACAAGACCCAGAAATACTTAAAATGTCGATTAAAACCTGAACTGCACAAAAATCCTTCCCCAGGGAATCATCAGCAAAACAGCAATTTAATTCAACCACAGGGCTCAAGGGCTATTCCCCACAGGAAGCTTCCCCATTTTAGAAGTAAGAAAAGGACAACAAATTAGTTCCAGTGCAGAATTTAAGTAATGGGAGTAGCTAACAATCCAACACAGAACTGAAAAAAAAAACAAAAACCAACAGATCACAAAGTTCTGATATTAAACAGTAAAGGTCTAACACCACCAAAGAACACCTATAAAACCTAGAAGAGCTGGAAGCCCCCCAGGTTCCCAAGCCAGGGTGAGAGGGCCTGAGGGCCTCAGCCACAGCCCCCAGACATCCGCATCCAGCCCTGTGATGACCAAGCCTCCACAGAAGACCCCCTGGCTCCTGACCTGGGGTGGGGGTGGGGCCGAAAGCCTCAGCCATGCTCCCCCTGACATGCGCAACTAGACCAACTAAGGAGCCAGCAATGAGCCAGCCCCTGCCCCCCCACACCAACCTCTATTCCTCTCTCCCCTCCCCTTCCCCTTCTTTAGCAACATCTTAGAATGTGGAATAATAATAATAAATAAATAAATTTTTAAAAAATAAATTGAAAATAAAATGATTCAGGAAAATTAGGTCTACTAAATACAGAGAATACAAAAACACTATAATTAAAACAATGTGATATTGGTATAAAAACTGATAAACACCAAATCAACCACAGAGTACATACCAAACATAAACATACATGGTCTCAATCTCTCTCTCTCTCTCTCTCTCTCTCTCTCTCTCTAGTTCCCCTTTAGGTAGCAAAGTCAGATAGAGTGGTCTCACACAATAAGACAGATTCAGGTGGGGCAGAAAAGAGCCTAACACTTTTTAGAATAATAATGGAAGTATCTTTTCCTGACAGGGTCCAAAATAAAGCTATGCTAAAAGAAACAAAATGTACATATTTAAATAACTTAGAAGAAAAACAATGGTAACTCTCTGAAAACAATGAATTGGAACCAGAACCCAAACAAGGTCCTGGAGATCATCTCCAGTCCAAGTTGCCCACAATGCCTCAAATAGTATCTGGTCAAGTCCTGACATTCTGTTCATTTTTACAGGATACAAATGGGGACCACAGACGTGGAGACTCTCAGACTGCAGTAGGGAGGCATGGATTAAAGCAATGCCCAGAGTGACTAGATAGGAAGTTTGAGATCCAATTTTCTACACTTGAACTCAAGACTTGTACATCGAACTATTAACTTGACATTTCTATTTGCATATCATAAGCATTTCACACATAATAGGTCCAAAAGGGAAATCATTCTTCCTGCCACTTCATTTTTAATCTATTTCTCTCCTAGTTGTTCAACCTACAAACTTGAAAGTTATCTTTATTTTTTATTTTTATTTATTTATTTATTTTTCTTTTGACTGGTAAGGGGATCGCAACCCTCTGCACGGTGCGGTCCGCACCACACTCAGCCAGTAAGCACACCAGCCATCCTTATATAGGATCTGAACCCGCGGCCTCAGCACTACCAGTGCCGCACTCTCCCAAGTGAGCCACAGGGCCAGCCCTATTTTTTATTTTTTAAAAGATGACCGGTAGGGGGATCTTAACCCTTGACTTGGTGTTGTCAGCACCACGCTCTCCCAAGTGAGCCAACCAGCCACCCCTACATAGGGATCCAAACCCGTGGCCTTGATGTTATCAGCACCACGCTCTCCCAAGTGAGCCATGGGATGGCCCTGAAAGTTGTATTTAAATACTCCTATAACCATAACCCCAAAACCTCTCTATCCACCCTGATTCAGTCTACCAACTAGTTTTGTCAATTTTATCCAAAATGCATCTCAAATCTATCCACTTCTCTCTTTTTCAACACTATCAACTCCTGTATGAGCCCACATCATATCATGCTTCTACATCAGTTATTATGTACTGTAACAGGTTTGTTACTAGTCTCTCTTCTTTCACTCTTACCTGTGTTCTACATAGCAATCAGAGTAATCCTTTAAAAATATAATTCTAAATATACCACTTCTTTGTCTATAAGCCTATACTGGTTTTCCAACCTCTTTACACAGTCAGCAACAAATTTTAATTTCTGGTTCCTGCTTTCCTTGAAACTTCACTTATTTTCTGTTCCCTCCTGCCCAACATGTTTCAGCCACTGCTCTCCTTTCAGTTCCTCCAGTACAACCCATATCAGGGCCTTCTCACACGCTTTTCTGCTGGAAAGCTCTTTTTTCCACTTTCTCGTGACTGGCTTTTTACTCATTCTTCCAATCTCAGTTTACATGTCCCTGGCTCAAATAAGTATTCCCTGGCCCTCTATCTACATGGCCCAACCCACTGTTCTTTACCACAGTACCTGTGCATTCCCTTAATAACAGTTATCATAATTTGTAATTCTTTAATTATTTCTTATTTGATTTTTGAAACAGTGATAACGTTTTACATATTTACAATAAACAAATAAGTTTGGGGAAACCTAAAATTGACTATAAACTGAATCAAATGATGTATTTCAGATGGGCAACACATACAATGAAAGGATAAACAGAAGGCAATAACTCAAGTTAACTATATACCCTATACTGGGTTGAATGGTGGCACCCAAAAAGATATGTCCACATCCTAACCCTAGAATCTGTGAATGTAACCTTTTTTGGAAAAAGAGTATTTGCAAATATCATTATGAATCTCTACATAAGTTACCTGGGCAGGCCCTAAATCCAATGGCAAATGTCCTTATAAGAGACAGAAGAGAAGACACAGAAAAAGAAAAGACTATGTAAAGATGGAGGCAGACCTTGGAGTTATGGAGCCACAAGCCAAAGAACACCTGGAGTCACCAGAAGCTGAAAAAGCAAAGGAAGAATTCTATTCCTAGAGCCTGAAAGTGGTTGCAGCGGAGGGAGTGTGATCCTGGCAACACCTTGATTTTGGACTTCTGGCCTCCAGAATTGTGCAAGAATAAATTTCTGTTGTTTTACGCTGCCAAGTTTGTGGTAATTAACTACAGTAGCCCTGGGAACCTAATATATACTCAGTCTAAGACCAAAAGGACTGTAAATGAATATTGAATTACGGTTAATACATTTGTTTCTTTTTTGCAGTGGTATGCATTAACAATTCTGAAACTGCTTTCAATATGATGAAGAATTAAGCCAATGAAGAATATGTTGAGGATAATGGGAGTCAGGTTTCTCACTGTTGGAGAACAGAGTTACAAAAGCAGAAAGGGGGAAGACTAGAATGAACTATGAGGTGTCTGAGTGAAATTAGGGGTATCAACATGAACTCATGATTTTTAATAGGTAGACATAAATACTGGTGTGTATGTATGTGTGTGCATATTATTCACTTTCTCTATACGCTGAGAAGGTCTAGAAACAATACACTCCAGCAAAACTAGCACAGAGATCCCAGTTTCTAACTATCATTCTTCACTAAAAGGAACCAGGGCTTCTTGGAGACATTATTGATTATAGGACTGGGGTAGGAAAAGAATAAGATAAACATGAAACATTCTTTTGCACCAAAAAATAAGAAAGCACTGCAAAAATGATGGGGACATGTTAAAAGGATAAAGCATTGGTTGAAGGGGCTTCCACTAGCTAAACATGGAAAAATTAAGGCATCAAAATAAATAACTTTAGTAATGAATTATAAGCCATTTACTAAAATAAGAACTCTTGAGTGCACGCTAATATAATAAACAAATAAATAAAAGAAAGCTCTTCCTTATAGTAGAATGCTATTGATAAATATAAAATGAACAATGGAGTTAGAAAAATCACTAT